AGAATACACCCCAGCACTAATTGACTGCCTTCAGAAATAGAAAAATGGAACTAGATTCTACCTTAATAAAGCCACCTACACCCTGGTTATCATTTACCTGCTTGCTAGAACAGCCATCAGAACTGTATACTTAGTTTATTTCCTTGTTGCTAAGGTAAAATTACTACCACAAAAGAAATTTAAGAGAAAAAGGCTTATTTTGGGTAATAGTTCAAGGGTACAGTCCTTAATTATAGATAGACAAGACAATAGGAGCTTGAAGCAGCTGATTACATGACATCCAACAAGCAGGGCACATGATTGTAAATGGAGACTGCTCACTCCATTCCCAGCCACCCAGACCCGAACAATCACACAGAAATTATATGAAATACAACAAACTATATTAATTACAACACTGTACATATTCCTAGATAGCTCTTATATCTTAAATTAACCCATTTCTATTAATCTGTGTATCGCCACGAGGCTGTGACTTTCCAAAAAGGTTCTGGGCAGTTTTCTCCTTCAGCAGCTACATGGAATCTGCCTGCCTCCACCTTCTTTCTCCCTGCATTCAGTTTAGTTTTCCTGCCTAGCTCTGTTCTGCCCTGCCATAGCAAACTTCTTTATTACCCATTGGTAATACAGCATATTCACAGCGTAAAAGAGGGGAATCCTACGTCGCATAGTCACTTCACTTTCTATTTTTTTTTTTATTTAGTTCAAGGTTATTATCCCATGACATGGTCCTACCCATAGTGGGCTTCTCTTTCCACCTGTAACCTAATAAAGATAACCAGTTATATTCATGTCTAGAGGACTGTTTCAGTCTCACCAAGTTGGCAATTTCACTTAACCATTACAACAACAATCTAAAGTTTCTTCCATATATTATTTGATTTTCAATATGCTATCAACAATTCATAGATATGTAAAAAATGTGGCCCAGCATCAATTGAAAACTCAGTCAATGGCAGCAGACCCATTGGTCAACTGATTGATATTGGAATTGACAGAAATGTACTACAAAAACTCTGTGTAAAACCTGTTAAGAAATTTAGACATAAGATATTATAGACATAAGATGTTTAGATATAAGGAGTAATAGGTTTTACATTTTCAAAAGTGATGTAAAAATAGTAAGAAAAAGGACAATAAAATCTCACAAACTTCACTAGAGTGAAGAAAGTGGTCTAGCAGAATTTGACAGATTCAACACATCTCAATAATAAAAAAGACAGTTAAAACCAATAAAGGACATGAGTAGGCACTCCATCTCTTAGCACTTGGCAAGATACTTAACCTTACTAGCCATCAGTAAGGTATAAATTTAGTATCCTTTGTAGCTATTTGAATATTAAAATCAGGAAGATGGAGAGAAAAAAAAGATTGGCAAAAGTATGCCTTACTGCAGTTCTCATACACTGCTATGGGCAGAAAATGATGTCATTGACTGGGGAAAGCATGTGTTCTTTATAAAGTATGCAGAACCGACCCAGAAACTTTATTCATAGGATTTTTTCCAAGGAAATGAAAATATAACAGCAGCCAAAAAAATTGTATACAATGTATATTTATCTACAATCACAAGAAAGCTCTGAATAATTCCAGTCCACTCAGTTATGAATAAAGAAATTATGGGCTCTTTAAAAGCAGACTATTTATAAAGAATAAGATGGAATAAAATTATAATACATGTGATTTAAAAATTCTGCTGATACAAGATCCTCTACCTGAAGTTTGAAATATATAGCAGCTAAAACTTAGTCATAATCACTGAAGTACTAACAAATGCTCCCCCTCCTAATGGTGATAAGAGAAGAAGTCAGATAGAAAGGACACAAGAAGACATTGGAGTGATGGAAATGTTTTATCTTTATTGGTGTCACAGTAATGTCCATAAACATTTGTTAAACTACATCAAAGTGGCATACTTATATTGGCGTATTTGATTGTATGTACATAAGAAATCATAAATAGAATTCATGGAACTAAAAATGTAATAATGTAATAACATAGTATTATATTCACATGCAGGTGAGATTGCCAGGTTTTGATATACTCTGAACTACCTATAATTCAGAGTTATTTCCATATCTATAATCCAGATTTTAGATAGTTCGGAGTATAATCACCACATCAGAAAAATCTGGGGCTCTGAGACCTGTTGTAAGTTCTTTGTGGATGTAAGAAAGACGCTAACCTAGGCTAGGGACTCATGAAATGGAGATGATCCAATTAGTATCTGCCTTAGAAGGTTGTCCTTGGTGTAATGTCTGGGACGCAGATGCAGACAGTGCATTTAAACCGTAGTTATTATTATTAAATGGCTCTTTGACTGCACTGGCATTACCCTAACTCAATCAGGAATGCGTGTATAACCATGAGGATTTTAAGAATTAGATATCGGCAAACTACATTAGGCTGCAATCTAAATAATGCAGACATTTGACAACGTATGATTAAGTATACTCACAAATCCTATTTTAGTGATCCATCTCAAACCAAGCAACTATCCCTTTGTCAAGAAAAAAGAATCCAAAGCTGTTCTCTGAAGAGCTTATAAAAAAAAAATCAAGCACAAATATTTAGGACATAGTTTTTTCTTAATAGTCTTCTTTCTCTTGTCTTTGTCCCTTACTCTTGTTGTTAGAGGTGTACATCTTTCCAGTGCACATATATGTATATATACACATGTATAAGAGTGTAGATTAGCTATATGTATAATTGTGACTACACTATCTATGATCTGGCTAGTGTTGGACAACATGGCACAAGCTAGAGTCAATTGAGAAAATGTTTCCGGAAGACTGGCCTGTAGGAAAGCCTGTTGGGCATTTTCTTGATGAGTATTGGAGCACCCAGTCCACTGTGCGTGGAACCATCCCTAGGCAGATAATCCTGGTCTGCATAAGAAATCAAATTGAGCAAGCCAGAAAACAACATTCCTCCACTGGCTTCTGCTTCTCCTCAGTGTTGGACAGTTACCTGGAAGTGTAAGATGAAATCAATCCTTTCCTCCCCAAATTGCTTTTAGTCGTAATATTTATTACAGAATTAGAAACCAGACTAAGACAGTTTGTGTCTACACCTGTTTTCTAAACCAGGCATTTTCACGTGAAACAATCCTGTCATGATAAAGACTGTTAACCTAACACTCCATCTACTCTTTTTAATAGCTGCAGAATAGACTATGGCAGGATGGAAGTTTATATACCCAACAAGTTGTCTGCTTATGAACACAGCATAATTTCAGGCTATTTTTCTTGCAGAAAGCTTCGAATTAATGCAAACATCATCTTCACTGGAGCTGATAACTTTATGTGATAGATTTTACATAGCAAAATTGATATTTGAAGATCTTTGAGCAAATATTTCCAATCTTTCCTTATGAGTGACAGAATTTGTGTGTGCATGAACAGTGGGCAGGGCATTGGTATTCTGTCTGGAGTGGAGTGATTGGTGGTTTTCATAGTCTTCTTTGTTTCTCATTTGCTGGTAAAGAGCTGCTTTTAAATTTACCCCACTCCATGCTAAGCTATTAAAGCTAAACACCATCAGTCTAGCACATGCCATTGTATTCAGCAACCTGCTGGATGCCTCCTTTGCATCCAAGTCCTTAAATCTTTGCACAGGTATGTGAGGTTGTACCTCTAACACCAATTCATTATAAAGTAGAACTTCGTACAGTATACGACTCGTGAAGAGCACAGTGGGGATTTCACCCCGGGTCTGTGAAGGGTGATAGCTGAGAGTAGTCTGGAATACACTCATTTTGATATGAGGGTCTTTTAGGGCTAGGCTCATTACCAAACGCCATAGATATGTAAGTGACAAGGCAGGTAAGCTCAAATAAGCTTATTCCTTTGGACACTTGATCAGCTGCTGCTGATGTCTTAATAACAGTGGCAACAGAAGTCACCTTGGCTATTAGACACGCTGTCCCCTCAGCACTAAAGTCTGTCCAGTATCTAGCTTTGTCTTGAAATAAAACAAAAATAAGAAGAGTCCTCATCAATTGCATGATTGCATTGACTGTGGGGGAGGGGGAGGGTGTTCAACGCTCTCAAAGATACTGTGTTTTCTTTCCCGTTCTAGATCACCGACTTCTACCTTGTCTTGCTTTGCAAACTTGATTTTTCTTTCTGCCCACAGAGCAGTATATGTTCAAAAATGACTAAACAGCTACATGTTTAAGTTCCTCATTTATGTATCCACGAGCCTTTAGCCCTCTCCCTCAGCACCAGCTTCGGATCCAGGCACCGAAGGTGTTGATTTTTAATCAAATCAGCACAGTGCTTCTTGCTAGGGTAGCTGTAAACAAAGGGCTCAGAGGAGCTACAGCTGAAGCTGCCTGAAAACAGAAAGCTGGCTCTTTAGCAGAGTAAGAACAGCTGCACTGCCTGGCTTCACTTTGTGACCAGCAAGTCAGGTTCAAGGTCTTCCAGGTGCTTCTAAAGTCCCATCTACCCTTGCGTTGTTTATCTCCTACCTGGCTGGAATTGATCATGCACGCGTTGTGCCTCTGAGAAACAGAGTTGTCTAGAGGTTTGGTTCTTATTTTGGTAGCCTTGCTTTTACCATCTCACTTTGGAATGAGTGCGCCTGTGCCTTTTTCCCCAGTAACCTCATTTAATACTGGTGGTGTGCTGAAAGTCATACTTAACAACTTCTAAGAGACAGCTACTTTCTAACACGGTTTTCATGAAATCAGATGTGGGCAGGAAGTGCCTACCCCAGTGAAATTATTCGATCTGTCAGGGGCTCCTCCACCCCAAAAGAACCTTAAGCAACCACAAACCACCTGCATTGCTCTTCTATATCTTTTGCCATGGGGTGGAGAGAGAGAGAAAGAGAGAGAGAAGAGAGAGAATTATATCCTTGTATCCATCACTAGTTTTCCCTCCACAGAGCTATGGTTTGGGTAGGAAGAAACTGAGTTCCTTTTCTTCTGTCCATTGAAACTTTTATTTCCAAAAGGTCAAACATAGGCTAACTTTGTTCTCTCTCTCCCCTAGTGGATGGCTGCATCCATAGAGCGGCTGGTCCCTGTTTGTTAGCTGAGTGTCGGACCCTGAATGGCTGTGAGACTGGACACGCAAAAATCACATGCGGCTATGACCTCCCTGCAAAGTGTGAGTATGGCATGCTTGACTTCCGTTCAGAATCAGCTGAGACTGCCAGCCTTGCCTTTTCCCTCGAAAGAATGTCTAGAGAAGGAGACAGCTGAGGTGGGACTTAATTAAATATGCTCGTATTCCTATTTAGTGTGTAGGTGCATGTTTATTTCTACGATTAACTAGAGAAGTTCTCAGTTGTTCAGTTCTCTGAAACTGGGAAATACAAGCAGGAGCAGAATATACGTTCCAGTATTTAAGCACCACCGGTGACAGTTTCTGGAAATGATGCCAATCTCTCACTCCTCGTTTGGCTTTCTTGATTGTGGCTGTGTTTAGAGCAAAGGAGATCAAAGTGATGTATTGTGTTTTCAGCTGCCACGTAAAGGCTGATTGGCAATTACAGCCCAGGCATCTGTCACACTCGGTTCTCAGGAGAAGCCAATGGAATGTGCTTGTCAGTCCGAGAATATATTTGCTCTTTGAATGTGGGATGGTCAAATTTCCTATTATATTTGAATAGAATAAATGCATTGCAATTGACTGACCTTGTTGCTTCGGTGTTTAGCTGACTACAGTGGGGTGGTAGAGAATAAAAAAAGAGAGAAGTGATTAAAAGTGCACCTTTTAGAATTATGTAATTTTCAGGGCCTGGGGATGAGGGAGAGTTTGTGCTACACCATTAAGATGTGCACTGACCTGGAAACTGAGATGCCAATTTAATCTGTGTACTTGCTTCTTAAGAGATGGCCCTGATCTATGAACACATTTTATGCGAAGGCAAAGCTACTTTTGTTTGTTTGTCTTTTAGTACTGAAGAAAACAGGCTAGAAAGTTACAGCATAATTTGTGTGATATTATTGTTGAACTGTATGGACAGGGTATGTAAAAATACGTTACCCAAGACTATCTGTGAATGGTGACACAGTGTTTTCTTTTTAAGGTAACTTTAAATATTGTGTGTGTGTGTGTGTGTGTGTGTGTCTGTCTGTCTGTTTGTGTAACCCCCATGTGCACAATGGCATTGGGAGTTTGCACTTTGGCTCATAGAACTCATGACCTGAGGATTAAAGGTGATTTTCCTTTCGGGGATTCTATAGCTCATGTTGACGAACACAGCTCTTGAATCTGTCTAACATGATGCTACCTGTGAGATGCAGCTGACCTGCACCACCTGGAGCAGATCAATTACTTTCAGGCTCGTGTTTGTCCTTAAACCAAGTAATAAACTAGGTCTTCCATTGAATTCACTACTTTCTCTGTAAGAAAACAGACAGGAAAATTCTTCAACTCTGAGCTTTCCGAAGAGTGATAAAGTTGGAATTACTACACACAGTCAAGTAAAATGATTGTTTATGTGTATTATCTGAGACTGTGGGAAGCTTTTTATAATTGACTTGCTACTATTTGGCATGCCTGTGTACTCGATATCCCATTTCCTTTGCATGGTGTTCTTTTGATTTCAGTCATTGAGAATTTACCTAGTGTTAGCCACCAAGGCACGGGGATTTGCACGACTGGACGGTTTAGAAGTTGTCATGCTTGAAACCTGTGTTTGAGCATTTGTGTGGTGTGTGACTTTCAGAAGCTTTTTAAAGCAAGTGGGCCACATGGTGCCCAAGACTCTAGACATGGCCAATTTGCCTCCAGGACTCAGCACGGAATCCCTACTCCAGTCATGATATGTAGCTCAATAGCATGAGTGCTGGCTAGTTTTTGTGTCAGTTTAACACAGGCTAGAATCATCTGAGAGGAGGGACCCTCAAGAGAGAAACTGTATCCAAAATATCTGGCTATGGTCAAGCCTGTAGTGCATTTTCTTAATTAATGCTTGATCTCAGGCCATTGTTCTTGGGGCCTGGTGATCCTGAATGTTATTTTAATAATAATAATAATAATAATAATAATAATAATAATAATAAAGCAGGCTGAGCAAACTACAGGGAGCAAGTAAGTAAGCAGCACTCTTCCAGGTCTCTGTATCATCTCCTGCTTCCAGGTTCCTGCCCTGACTGTCTTTGATTATGACCTGTGATATGCAACTGTACACAAAATAAACCTTTTCCTTCCCAAGTCACTTTCGGTCGTGGTATTTCATTAATGAAGACAGCACGTCTGTGCAATGAAGAATCATTCAATGGGATAGAAAATAGCACTGCAGCATGGCAGCCACCTCATTAAAAAAAATCAAAGACATGCACTGTCAGTAAACATATTTCATACATTTCAGGATTTTCTGCATTTTAAAAGGTTAATGATTATATTAAAATCATAAAGAAAAGGGATGGGAAACTGAATAATAATAGCTCATACTTGTATTCTACTTTGTAGTGTTTCATAGATTTTTTACAAGCCGTTATATTTTAAATTATGCTTTATAAACATTGTGTGTGTTCATTTCCTTTTTCCTATTCCTGAGAGATAGTTTTCTTTCTCATCAATTTGGATCCTCCATTTCAGAGTCATTAACAATCCACAGATGTGCTTTTGTAGTGAGAGAATGAAAAGGGAGCTCATTACATACTGTTTGGGTCATTTTCCCCTCCATATTTAATAATTCTGTGACAGTTTGACAGCAGAGACTAGCTCCTATCTGTCCTCTGAGACAGTGGGTTCATCATTATAGGGGCACTAAAGCCAGTCAACCAGCCTCAAGTGATGATATCTTCATGCACCAGCAATTTGTTTTGAGGATGCTTTTGTCTGAGTTACATACAGTGTTGGTCATTTTGGACAGCTCTCTGCTTTTATATGCTTGCTAAATTAATTTATTCATGAATGGTTGTATTTGAATTAATTATACTTGTAGTCTGTGTTCTGTGACTTATCATGATGGGTAGAATGAAAAGTCCCTGGATGTTCTCTCTTTCTTTCACTGCCTGCATGTCTGAATGGTTTCTTTTGACACAAAACTAACCAATCACTTCTCTCAAAAGAAATCATGGTAGCAAGAGTATTGACTAGAATTTCATTGAAAACTATTGCTTAGGAAGTATACAAAGGGCTATTTATATAATTTCAATCTTGAACAGATAGTCCCTTCTGTGAGATTAGATTTTTTTTGAATTTGTGATAAAATGTGTATACCTCTATAGAAGCTTTTCACATGAGAGATATTTAAATTACCCTATCTGTTGTAGAACTCTGTTCTCCAGGCTTAGTAGCCATTGCCAGCTTAGAAAACTCATGAGAAACCCACAATAAGCTCTCAAGACTGTTCCTGTTGACTGTACTTCGTAGTAGGAGGGGTAGGGAGAGTCAATAGATGCTCACCTGAGATGCAGCCGCTCCCTCCTACATCTTCTCCCAAACTGTATGTAGTTGTGCCCAGTTACACATGCCATGTCTGCATCTTGGTATGCATGAGGCTATGTAGAGGGTAGAATGGTTAACTGGCATGTGGACTCCATTTGTGCGTCTCGGGCAAATCATTAACCATGTTAATGAGACTTTCTGGTGATTTCTCTATTTTTCAGTCACCAGTCTGGAAACAACATCTTTGTCTGTTTTGGTGCCCCATCTGCCATGAGTAGAGGTTTGTTCAGGTTTGCCCAAGAAAGCCCATACAACACTGCCATCATTATAGTGTTCTAATTTTGTGATTAATTATTGTAAAAGAATGAGATACCAAATGGATGATTTTGATCAGGACCCTTTCATTTGAAAAATAGTTTGTTAACTGACTCCTACTTCTCAAGCCTTCCATTTTGCAATCCACTTTGCACCGTGCTCGTGTGTGGGGGGGTGTCCTCAGTTGTCAACAAGGGTATGCATGGTGGAGACTTTCCTTGCCCACTGTGGCCTCCTTCTGTATTCTCTCATAGGCTCCCTTGCGGATCCTCAGTCCTAGGTATTATTGTCTCCTTGTCTGGCGTTCTATTCTAGACTTCATTACCTCTTCCTTTATGTTCTTCACTCTCTTGTTAACTGTAACCTCAGGTGTCACCTTAGCTGACATAGTTGTCCTGGCTCTTCTGCTTCATCTGTAGTTGTTGCACTGTAGCATGCTAACTTCAAATACGCTCCTATTACTTCTTTTTGTTTGTAATGCCTCCCTTTACCAGAATAAGGGTGTAGACTTTGGAGTGGGGATTATTTCCTGTATTTTGCACTATCCATAGAAGTTCTTAAAATGCCCAAAACATTTGGCTTGAAAGGTATTTCTTGAAATGGTGAATGAAAGTAAGTGCCAATATTCTGACATATTTTTTTAGTTAAACTTTTGTTACCCTAATTTTCTTCAGCTTTCTATAATAGGCCACCATATCTTGAACCACATATAATGTCTTGAACGGTATAACTTGCAGCATGTTCCCTCATATCTGTAATAGGCCACCGTATCCTGAACCACATAAAGTGTCTTGAACAGTATAACTTGCAGCATGTTCCCTCATATCTTGGTGGGCTTATGATTGTCTAGAAAGCCTGCTCTTTCTACTTGTCATTCAGACTCAACTCAGCTATTACCTGTTAGAAATGAATCTCACCACCTCAACTACAAGTTCTTTCTTCAGTATATTGCATGTTAACACTTTGCATGATGCTCCTTTTCCTTGTTATAAATGTCTCATTGTTGTGTGTATGCTGCATATAGAGAGAGCTAGAGGGTAGCCTTCTTTGTTGTTCCATAGGAGTCATCTACATTGGTATTTTTTTAAAGACAGGATCTCTCATTGGTTGAGAGCTCACTGAGAAGGCTAGGCTGAATGACCAGCAAGTCCTAGGTTCCCCCTCTCTCCACTGCCCCAGTGCTGCACAGTTGCACACCATCATATCTTTTATATGGGTTCTTGGTATCAAACTGAGGTTCTGATGGCTATGTGTAAAGCGTTACTCTCTGTGCTGTCTCCCCAGCCCATGCTGCATCTTTCTAAAATATTTCGGGTACTGGAGTCATCTCTGTCAAGTGAATTAACTGGTAAAACTGGAAACTGACATCCAATTGGTGAAAGTTTAGACATAAAAGAAAAATTATGCTAATATTCCTGAAAATAATGGAATTAATGTCAACTATGCAT